GCCTCCATGTAGAGCACCGAAGGGCTTCTCAAATCCCATCAGTAACGAGGGTTCCCTCCAATCCTCTTATCTTCCTTTGGGGGTGTTCAGGGCTGAGGGCTTTTCCCCCATAAAAGGCCCGTGAAAAACTTGAATCAAGCTGAAACCTGTAAGTCAAGCCAGTCTTTTCTAGAATCTATGGCAACTTTGGCCGCTGTTCATGGAAAAGAAAGTCTTGTAACCAAGCGCTGAGTTGTAGCTTGGTTCTCTCTACATAATCCACTATTTTTTCCCTAGCAAATTGGTTCTTGATGTTGATCTACCGAAAACAGTATCAATCACTTTCCCTTGACACTGTTTCTCTGCTGCCTGATCCTTTTGCTCCTCCAGCAGCCCCCAATTAATTATCTACAGTTTACTCCTCATCACTGAGGTCCCAACGCTTTCCCCATAAGGCGAGGGATATGCAAATGATTGACATCCCTGAGCCAGCAGAGAGCTTTGCAGTGGTTTTCAAAATCCATCCAGCAACAATTCAATCTTGCAAAGATCATTCTTTTCCTTTAAAGTGAGGTCATATTTCCAGTCCTGCCATGGTGTATATTGTGCAATGTTTATCTTTCGTTTACTTTTCAAAACTATTCTCTTACCAGAAAATAAAGAGCAAATTCTTGCCTTGCGTATGCACATCTTACATCAAAAAGAAAAGCAATCGCCCCCCTGGCCTCTGTGGAAGGTTTGCCTCTTGAGCAGTGGATGGGTCAGCATGGGCATGAGAGGCTGGAGACATAGAATGCTGCATGTTCTGTCTGTTACATTATACCTCCAGGAGAATCCAGGCAGCATCTTACAGTCAGACACATTAATATTTCTGCATAGAAATGCATGAATATTCACACTGAGAAGCATGAATAAAGATTATAGATGACTTTGCATCAGCTCAGATCAGGCTTTGCTGCCAAATGAGTTTCTGGTCATAATGAAGAACAAAAAGCAGTGTGAGCTTTTTGGATTTGGGAATTGCAGACAGGAAATTGGGCCTCCTTCTCCCTCCTTTGTGTCTTTGTGGGTACCCATCACAATCTGGAGACCCAGGGAAGATGTGCTCTGTTTACCACTTGTGATGCCAAGAGGAACGAGCCCCCAGCATCCTCACCCGTCTCACTCACGACCCCACAGCTGGATCAAGGATGCAGCTCCAGGGGTCCCAGGTCCATCAATCTACAGCCTGGAGAATGATGAGCCAGTGGTGACAGACAGACGGCCTCGAGCATCTGAGCCTCCTTTATCAGCAGCCCGGGTCCTGACCCCTGGTCTGGCAGCCACAGTCCGTGCGTGGTCTGTCGCTCAGTCGTGTCCTACTCTTTGTAACTCCATGGACCATAGCCCGCCAGGCTCCTCTGTCCACGGGCTTTCCCAGAAAGGAATGCTGCAGCGGGTTGCCACATCCTCCTCCAGGGCATCTTCCCGGCCCAGGGACCCACATCTCTTGTGCCTTATGCTCTGGCAGGAGGACTTTAACCACTGAGCCACCTGGTGAGCGCAGCCACAGTAGCTGCAGGGAAACGGGCTGAGGCCTGTGGTCCCACCCGGGGACGAGAAGAGAGACGGGAGGCCGCGTCGTGTAGAAGCAGGAGGTGTGGCAGGTGCTGGTCCCAGCAAAGAGCGCGGCCCTGCCCATTTTTAGAAGCTTAACTCCGTCTTCCTGTTCCCCTTTGGAAGCCATTAATATCTCTGCAGATCAGCTCCAGACCAGGAGGCCGCAGGTCCCCGGCGATGCCCTGTGGTCCCTTACTACCCATACGTCTCCTTTCACTTCCTCCATCCTCCCTGATTTAACGGAGGTGACTTGCCCCTGTCCCTGCAACCTCAGCTTGTCAGCAGAACACAAATACATTTTCTTTGCCGAGACAATTCCACCAACCCCTGACCAGGCACTGCCTACACTTGCATTGACTCCCAAAGTTAAAAACAGTCTTTTCCAGCATCAGAAACAAGTCTTGATCTAAAACCTGGCCGTCAACATCAAGGAGGAGGCAAAGAGGCAGCTGGCCATCAGCGTTTCTTGATGGAGAAACTGATTTCTGCGCCATTCTGCTTTTTGTTCTTTCCAGAAGGATCCAGACTGATCGACGGCAGAGGGAAAGGCAGAGAACGAGAGGACTGAAAAGTGGGTTTGTTTGAGTCTCTTTGGAGGGGTCTGTGAGACCCAGCTTTTCATTCAGTCCAGGCTATTTCTACAGAAACCAGAACATGCAAATATTTACTTGGTTCTCAATACTCTCAGATATCTGTCGTTTCAGAAGCAACTTGCAAACATGTCACTTTATGTGAACACAGCCATTCTTTAGCTAGGAAACAGTTTCAAAAGAAAAATCTGAAATGCTAAGGAAAAAACCCCTCAAACCCTTTATTTAATCAGTGACAATGTAAGAAGTAATAGAATACTAGTAATAGAATACTAGAATATGGCTAGAATACTCATAAGTAGACCCTAAGCTTGAACAGACCAGTGCTTCTTTTTATTGAGTAGAGTTGCTCCTTTGACTTTCGACAAAAATAGTGATGGTTTGGGCTTCCCCAGTGGCTCAGGAGATAAAGAACGCGCCTTCCAATGCAGGAGATACAAGAGAAGCGGGTTTGATTCCTGGGTTGAAAAGATCCTCTGGAGAGGAAAATGGCAACCCACTCTAGTATTCTTGCCTGGGAAACTCATGGCCAGAGGAATCTGGTGGGCTATGGTCTTTGGGGTCACAAAGAGTCAGACATGACTTAGTGACTAAGCAAAAACGACAAGTGATGGCTTGCCTGAAATTGGTGTGGAGTATTTTGAATAGATATGATCTGCCTTCCTAACTTGCACAGCCCATGGCAGCCTCTGCCAGGGAGATAACCTTTCCTCACTTCCTCAGGTGAGAGGGTTAACTGCAGGCCATTTTCCTGTGGTCCCTGAAACAAGATGACTTTAGCCAAAATGCACAGGGTCGTGGGGAACTAGAGTACACTTATCATGGACCCAGCAGACACAGCTTCTTCATGCCAGTGATGCTGTCTCCAGGACATTCCCACTAGCTGGACAACCAAGATGGAAAGACACGTGTGTGTCCGTGTGTGCGCTTATGTGTGTTTTTGCATGCTTATGTGCATGTGCGTGTGTGTGCATGTGTCTGTGAAGGGTCAGGCCTGTCCAAAGATTCCTCCTGCCTTTCACACCCAGGCCTGAGGAAGTGCTTTCAATACCAAACTAGAAGTGGGAAGGATAAATTAGGGGTTTGGAATTACCATATGCACACTACTATACATAATAAGCAACAGTAGGGTTCTACCTACAGTATAGCACAGGGAGCTGTGCTCAATGCTCTGTAGAAACTTACACGGGAAAAGGATCAAAAAGAATAGATAATGTTGTGTGTGTGTGTATGCGTGCCAACTTCCTTAGTCGTGTCTGACTCTGTGACCCCATGGACTGTAGATCGCCAGGCTCCCCTGTCCACGAGGTTCTCCAGGCAAGAGTACTGGCGTGGGCTACTGTGCCTTCCTCCAGGGGACCTTTCCCACCCAGGGATCGAAGTACATCTCATGCCTCCTGCGTCGGCAGGTGGTCTTTACCACCAGCACCCCCGGGAAACCCAGATACATGTGTTGCTGTTCTTCGGCCGCTCAGTCATGTCTGACTCTTTGTGACCCCATGGACCGCGGCACACCGGGCCTCCCTGTCCCTCACTACCTCCCCGAGTTTGCCCAAGTTCGTGTCCTTTGAGTCGGTGATGCCATCCAACCAGNTTATACTTTCTCTCACCTGCCAAGGGCAAGAGGGATTGTAAAAAAAAGCAACTACATCCACTGGGACCCTTTATCATCTTTGGTTCAGTGCGAGGTTTGCAGGCTTGGTAAGGAGACGCCAGGCTGAGGGCAATCGGTGCTGCCTAGTCAGGCCAGGGAGCCCGAGGAGGCCCCCCAGCCTCCTGCGGGGGATCTGGCACAGGGGCGGCCGACACGGGAGGAATTATCCACGCAAGAAGCAAATGGCCCTGGAAGACGGACCGCAGTGCTAGCCACCGACTGCCGGACCTTGTTACTCCCATCAGCACGTGACGCACGGTTATTACTTGAGTTATAATGGCTGAGGAGTCATTCTGGTTCATCTTCCTTAGCCTCATTTTTAGTCTGTTATTTAGACAGATGTTGAAGTTAAATGCTGGCTTATGTTTCCATTATGAGATCTCAGAATCCCTCCAAGAACCAGGCGCGGGCTTCCACAGCCTGAGTCCCTTTCCTCCCTCGTTCTTCCTGGGCAGAGCTGGCCATGGGATGCTGGCCTCAGAAGGAGGCCCGGCCGGGCAGGGCAGGCGTGTTCCAGGCCTCCCACGTCAGCCCGGGGACTCCAGCCTCTCCAGGACTGGCGCACGTGTGTGCTCCTTGGGGCCGGTGCTTCAGATGGTGCCTCTCAACAAGGCCAGGCTCTGCTGGGCTCAGCACGCTGAGAGGCCCGTGTCCTTCCAACAGAGGAGCTTGCTGTCCCACGGAAAGCCAGCAGCGTGTGCAGCGTGGGGGTCACCGGGACTCAGAGTCACAGGCTCAGGGTGTCGCCCCTGTGTCTGTGTTCTTGCTGATGCCGGAGCTCTGCTTCTGCTCGAGAACTAGATGATGATGGCCTCCAGGAGCCACCATCACTGGGCCACGTCCCCTGGCCCCTGGGCCCTCGGTGACCAGCTCAGATCACTGACTGGACCGTGGGCTTGAGGAGAGAATGGTCTAAGGTCTGAGGTCCATGCTCTTGACCCAAATACTGGTCTTGTTCCGCTACCCCTGAGTGAGACAACCTTGATCCATCCTCAGGTGGAGAGGGCAAGTCCCCTCTGGAGGGCCCAGGAGGACAGCTGGCCTTCTGCACTGTCCCCTCACCGTGGTGGCCGGAGGTCCCTTACTGCAGTGCGTGTCCTTGGGTCCCACCTGCCTGTATAGCTGCAACCTGATCGCTCTCTCACAGAGCAAACCTCGTAGGGGTTGCCTGAATCCACTCCATTTGAGGACTGAGATCTCATTCGGGTTACCTTTTCTTTGGAAGAAGCAGTAGGCGGGCTCACACAGAGATAGATCAGAAAGCAATGGCGTGTTTCACAGAACTCCTGGCCCCAGACCATGCCTTGACTTCTCAATTCAGGCAGACTTCCCTCTGAGTGGAGGTCAGCTGCCTCCATTCCCCCTGACACTCTGATGCTCTGTTTGAAGAAGTAGAAAGGGTGGAAGTTCTTGAAGGATCATTTCCCAGGTGTTGGGAGGAGGAAGACAGCCCAGACAAGCCTGTTTGAGGTGAGAGAGGGGCCCATAGAGGGCCTGGGGAAATCCCTGACCCTCCCTCACCCTTCCCTCTCTCCACCTATTCATCCATCCACCCACCCATCCACCCACCTGTGTGTGCATGCATGCATACAGCCAACCATCCATCTATATCTACCCATCCATCTACCACTCACAAATCCATCCATCTCTGCATCCATCTGTCCCTTCACCCATCCATCTATTCATCCATCCATCCATCTATCTATCTAGCCATCTATTCATCCATCCACCAATCTACCCTTGTGTGCATGCGTGCACACATCACACCACCCACCTATGCATGTATCTATCTATCCATCCACCCCTGCTCATTTCCCTCCATCCATCTGTACATTCATTCACTTAAACACACATACTCGCTGAGGCAGAGACTGCCCAAGAGGCTCACAGACGATTAAGAAGCCCTGCCTGGCGTGGAGAAGAAAGCCTGGGCCGTGGCCTACTTTGCTGGTTGATGGATGAGGCAGTGCTGCACCCAGGCTCTCCCAGACTACCAAAGAGGAGGAGTCGTAGCTTCCAGGCTCACTGGAGCTTCTTGCTTGGCCACTTTAGGGCTGATGAATGGGAGAGTTGAGACCAGAGAGGATTATGTGTCTTAAGTTCTGGTTCTCTGGCTCCAGAGGTTCAACTGGACCGTTTGTGTATCAGAAGCAATTTTAAAACCTGATTCCTCTGATTTCTTGCTGTCAAACTGAAGGTAACAGAAATTCTGGGAAGCTTCTGGAGTCTTGATCTTTGGAATGTTTCTTTCTGATCTCACTCAAGGATGACACTAGCAGATGCTGTCTCCATTCCCACTGATTTGGAAATCTGTGATATTTTATGTGTGTGTATGTGGGTGCTCAGTCATGTCCGACTCATTGTGACCCCATGGACTGTAGCCTGCCAGCCTCCTCTGTCCATGGGATTCTCCAGGCAAGAATACTGGAGTGGGTTGCCATGCCCTTCTCCAGAGATCCTCCCCACCCAGGGATTGAACCTGCATCTTCTGAATCTCCTGCATTGACAAGAGGATTTTTTACCACTAGCGCCACCTGGGAAGCCCATGATTTTTATGAGCTAGGATGGATAACTGCTAGGTCTGTAGCTGTTGATACCTTCAGAGTCTAGAAGGAGGGTTCCTAACCTGCCCCATGGGTGCTGACCATACAATTTGTGAGAAGGTGTAAGTCCTTTCTGCCTGGCAGGCGGGAGGTGCCCAGAGCACACCTGATCCGTCCTTCCCACCATCTACAACGAGCCACCTTTGGCCCACGTTTACTCCTCTTTCAGTGTTGCTAAGCCAGTACATTGCTTGATGTCATTTCATTTGAAATTTCATCTTCCCTGTTTCCCATGGAGAAACATGCAGCTGGGAGACAGTGAAGAAATGCCAAAATCAGGAGGGCCAGGACTCCCATCATTCCCTGGTTCCAACCAGTTCCAGATCCTAACTCTAGCCTCCACTCTCTCTCAAGACTGGGACAGCGCTGGTCTTTGTCCCTCAGGGCTGGTAGCAGCGATGGAGACAGAGGCTCACCCTGCCTCCCATGAGGCCTCCCCTCCAGGAACGGGAATCAGGTAAGTAAGCCAGGATCATCACCGTGCACGCTGGAGTCCATGCTCTAATTTCTGTGATAAGAAAATGCAAAGGCAGGTTTTAGCCTGGAGGAAGCTTTTCCTGGCACTGATGGAGGGCTGGTGTCGGGATGAACAAGGAATGCCCACAGATTATCCCGGAAAGCAGCGCCCAGCAGAAAAGTGACCCAGACGGTGAGCAGAGGAGGAAATGCTGTGGGAACAAGGCCTGACCCTTGGCGGCCAGGCCTGGCTGACCACGGCCACAGGGGCTCCCACTGTCCCCCAGCCCACGGTAGACGAGGGCACCCGGCCACACCCACGTCAGACCAGTGCAGCCCCCCCAGCTCCTCCATCCATCGCTGGAGGAGGGGTATGTGGGTGCAACTGCTTCGGAAAATAGCTGGGAATCTTCCCCTGAAACAGAAGCTGCGTACCTTGCCCCACTGCAGCTGTTTCTAGGTGTATCAGCCCCAAGGAATTCTTGACTATCTGGGGAGACTTGGTCAAAACTGGCATTCAGAGCATCACAGATGATGAACAAGACCCAAAGGATCCTAGTAGAGGAGAGAACTGGGGTGCACAGGCAAAGAATGTAGAAACACTGCAGTCACAGACATAATTCTAAATTAAAAGAATGGACTCAATTGCTTTCAACGTCTCTACCTTTTTTTTTTTTTTTTGGTAAAAACTAAACATTTTAAAATATGCTTTAGGTACCCACGCAGACACAAGAAATCTGCTTAGGAAGAAAAGCCCAGAAATGATAACACGGAGGCAGACGGAGTTTATTTAGAGTGGAGGGGGCAGGCTGTGACAGGTGAGGTGTGGGACATGGGTTGCTTCCTTGTTATTAAGGACAATGTTGTTCAGGGAGGTGAGTTCACAGGAGCACCTTGCTGGTTACCCCCTGGACCTGAAACCAAGCAGGACCCCATGGGGCCCCAGGATGCTAAGCCTCTCTGTAGCCCCCATTTTTTGATTACAGGACACAGGCTTCATTCGGCCTCCTTGATGTCCCTTCCTTCCATCACCCACCTTCAAATAGTTGCTCATCGGGGCAGAGAGGAGATGCAGAGATACGGGCGGAGCCATCAAGAAAGAATAGGGCAGCGTTGGCGGGCGGGTCCTGGCTCCCCTTCAAGGGGTACATGCACAGTATCTTTGTTTTCCAGACAAACTGAAGCCCCCACCAGGTGGGAGAAATAAACTGTCTGCTGCCCGCCACCACGCTGGACCCCAGACCAGCTGGAATCCCAATGCTGACTCCCACTTACCTCCCCACCAACCAATCAGAAGAGTGTCCACGCGCTGATCACGCCCTCTCTGAGCCGTAACTGACAAACTTCTCACTGCCCAGGCCAGGCGGGACTCGCGTCTGTGAGGACATGACCGCACTGGGCCCCCTTTCCTGGCCACCCAGCAGAGATATTCTCTTCTGCCGGACCCGGTACTCGGTCCCCGAGATACAACTCGGCGTTGGGTACAGAGGCCAGACTCTGCTCCAGACCCCAGCCCGCCGCCCCGCTCTGCCCTCCGCTGTGGGGCAGCCCCGCACCCCACGCCTCCCACGGCCAGCCGCGCCCAGCCGCGCCCTCCTGGGCGCTGGACGTCCCCCTGTTCCCCGCTCCTCGGCAGCCAGGCAGGAAGGCTTCTCCCCGCAGAGTGCTGTCTGTCCCTGGCACGCCCGTGCCCACCTAGCAGGCTCCCCGCACTGTCGAGCGGCCCCCGGGTCCCTTCAGACGCCCCCACGGGCAGCGGCTCCCCTCAGAGCCGGGAGAGCACCGGGCAGCCGCCGGACCTGAGACAGCTCTGCGGGGTCAGCCCCGAGCTTCCGGTTCCGGGATTCTGCCGCTTCTCCCCTTTCTGCTCCGCCCGGGGCCACAGCGCTTCCTGTAGAGACTCCACACACCACACCACACACATACACACACACACCACACACACATCACACACCACACCACACCACACACCACACACCACACACCACACCACACACACACCAAACACACACCACACACACCACACACACACACCGCACACACACCCCCCACACACACCAAACACCAAACACCACACATACACCACAAACACACACACCCCCCACACANAATCCCACGGGGAGCACTCCACCGGGAAAGGGACTCCCGTTTCCTCTGGGGCCTCTTTGCTCATCTCTTTCCTCACCACCTCTGTGAGTCTGGAATCTAGAACGGTGACTTCCTGCTTCTCCTCACGAAGCAAAGTCTTCGTGAAGCTTCTCGTGGGCAGCCGCTTTCTCCCCAAGTTTCACATGGGCATGCCAGCACAGCCTCCCATCCTGGGACCCACTCCAACCATGCACAAACACACACACCATACACCATCCCCTCACACAGCACACACACTACACACACAATCACAGACACACACCACACACATCACACACACCATACACACCACACACACACACACACACACCATATACACCACACACACATCATACACACCACACACACCATACACACCACACAGACACCCACCACACACACTACACACACAATCACAGACACAAACCACACACACCACACACCACACACACCACAAACACACACACACACACCACACACACACACACACACCACACACATCACACGACACACACACCACAAACACCACACACCAAACACCACACACACACACACACACCACACACACCACACACACACAAACACACACACACACCACACACTACACACCAAACACCACACACACCCCACACACCACACACACACCACACACACCAAACACACACACAACACCACAAACACACACAAACACATACCACACATACACACACACCACACACACACCCCACACACCACACACACACACACACACACACACACCCCACACACCACACACACACACACACACACCACACACACACACACACCACACGCACACAACTCCCCCGCCGGGTCAGCATCTCTTACCCCAGGCCACAGTCCTGATGGGCCCCTGCCTAGTACCCATGCTTATTAAGTTATTTCAGACACAGGAAAGAACTAACATTGATTAGTAGAAGCATCAAGTAGTGAAAAGAATCAGTACTGACCAACTGAAGCCAAGAGGCCGCGTCATGCTCTGGGTCTCTGCTTCGGCCTGCGGTCTTGTGGCTACGCTTTTCCCAAGCAGCTGGAGTTTGGTGGACGTGAGGCTCCACAAGCTTGTGTGTGGGGGTTGGGGGGGCTGAGTGTCACACGTGCACGTCTGACGGGCCCTCTCAGGCTAAGAGTGATTGGGCCTGGGTGTCCCCACCCAGGGCGGCTCAGCCAGGAGCCGGGGGACCCTGACCTCTTTCCAGCCTCTGCCCTGGGGTCTCTCCTCTCTCCCGCTCCCTTCTTCTGAATTACAGCTTCTTAAAACCAAAACACTCCAAAAACACTGGAAAAGCCCCTAGTATGAGCATCATTCGGCAGCCCACCCCAGTATCCTTGCTTCGAGGCTCCCATGGACTGAAGAGCCTGGCGGGCCGCAGTCCAGAGGGTCATCATGCCCATTGTTGCTGTCTGAGAGCTGGCCGGCCGGAGGAAGGAGGCCACGGGGCTTGAGCCGTTTGCCCAAACGGTTGGACTCTGAAGCGCCCAGCGGGCCCTGGAGGTCAGGAGACAGAGCTGTCCCTCAACCCCACCACACAGCCACAACCACTGCCTCCCAAAACCCAGCAGCCGCTGGCCAGCTTGGTCCACAGCAGTGAGGGGCTGGGAGGCCGAGGCAGGCCCGCTGACCCCAGGCTCTCACAGGGAGGGGCGGGGGGCCCACAGCCGGGGTCTTTCCCTGGGGCGGGAGCCCTGACTGCGGACACGGTGCCAACGTCCTGCTCACGGGCCTGGGGCCCCCAGCACTCGCCTCACCCCCACTGGCTCCCGCTGACTTGGAAACGGAGCCGGTTGCAGCAGGCCTTTTCCAGACGACCGTTCCCCCGGAGGGTAGGTGAGGGGACACGTGGGCGCACAACAAGGAGCGAAAGGCAATGAGACAGACCGGGGCTGGAGGTCAGGCCCTTGTCCCTGCGCCCCTCCTGATGAGCTGGCACTCTGGTCCCCAGGTCCGCCCTTGAAGACACACGCCGCCAGGTTGAGACCCGGGGCCCCTCCCAGCCCCCACGTCCTGTGACTTTGAGAGTCCGCCATGCCCAGGGCGCCCACTGACACTGAATTTCTGCTTGCTGCTTTTCAATACTGTCTGCAATGCTATTTCTTAGAGCTGAAGCAGACTCATTAGACAGCAGAGTAGCGTGTTTATCACACAGGCCCCCCCGCCCCCATTACCGTCCCCCTGACCCGAGGAGGCCTTCTAACTGTGGGCTGATGCCCTGGGACACAACGTCTTCTGATGTGCTGGGTGCCAGCCAGTGGGCAGACGCCCCTGCTCACTCTTTGTGCCAAAATACTGTTGCTGATGACCTGTTTGGGGTTTCAAAATTGCTTACTATTTGATTATAGGAAAGTGCAGAAAAGTACCAATTTTCTGAGTGGAGATGTTTGTCACAGATGATCATCGCCAAGTTGGATAAGTGAAATTTGAAGTTTGTTTATCCCTCCCACTAGATTTCACAATGAAATTAGATCACTTTTGCAGTTCTCTGAGGAAGAAATAGAAGCTTTAAGAATAGATAGATACACAGAGTGACACTTGGAAAAGAGCAGTCCTGGGAGGAAAACAAACAAACAAATTTCTCTGGGCCACGTAGCACATTGGTGAGGTACCAGATGGCGATTAAATATAATTTTTAAAACAAATGGAGAAACCATTAACTACGACGGAGGCCGATGCACCTGCGCTGTGTCAGTGAGGGTGGGATCATCCTGCTGAAGGGAGGAGGGTGCAGCGGACGGAGCCTCCCGGGCAGGACAGGTCAGACTCTGGAGGAGGAGATGAAAGACCTGCCCTCTCTCAGGACCTCCAGTCTTGCTCTGCCCTGGATGGCCCTGCCGGCCCTCCTCGGTCCAGCCACCAGCGCCCATGGGCGCGGTCTAGATGTGCTCGCCGTCCGCATGCAGACCCCCAGGGATCTGGAGGAAGCCCGTGCTCGTTCGGTAGAACTGAGCTCTGTGACCACAGGACCGAAGCCCTGGTCCTCCTGCAGCACCGACCTCCAAACACGATCCAGCTTAGACTCCGGGCGCCCCTGCCCGGGAGCATGTGGACACACAACCAATATTGCTGCGGGGTTGTTTGTGCAGACAGGAATGCAACTGTATATGTGAGCGCTCCTCACGTCACCAACACTTAAAGATGTGTTCTCTGTGGAATCCCGAGGCATGCAGCATTGTTTGAGCAAAGGCCCAGGTGGAAAGACAGGGCAGAATTAGATCTGATGCATCGCCAGAAGGCTTCTCTGTGCTGTGCGGTCCTCTGCCCAGCTCTGCTCCATCAGAGCACTGAGGTTCCCTGTCAAACTGGAAAACTTCTTCCCTTGAACCCAAAGGGATGAGACAAGTCAGGAGACGGCAGTGAGGCATTAAGTCTGTGAGAAACACGACACTCGGCTTCTTGAATAATCATGAGATCAAACGTCTCAGTTG